TGCGAGCTTCATCTCCTCTTCCCAAGGCAATTCGGTGCTGACATTAATGACTTTTGCTGCCATGATACACGAGTCAAAGTCATTTTTGGTAGTGACCTCCTCCAGATGAACCCCAGATACTGCTTCTTTGATTTGCAAATGTCGCTCACCCACGAAGACGACATCGTTTTGGTCTTTGCTTCTGAGATGCGCAGGGAGAATCCATTGAATGATAGGACTTGATACTAGAGTATGCGACAATAGTCCGACTTTTGTCTGGGATGCAGAATGTATGCTTTCTGTCTCGATTTCCATCGAATCCCCACCTCCACCTGCAACGGTCGCTGAATTATTTGCGGCTAATCCTGCACCGCTTCCTGATGTAGCCATGATAGCTTCTCTGATTGACCGTGGAGAAAGAGGGCCCGTGAAATCAAAGAAAGTGGTCCCTTGCCAAACGAAAGGATGGCCAGAGGACACAAAATGAGTAGAAAGAGAGACGCGGAAAGAGAAAAGGAAAACGGAACGAAAGAGTAGAATAGCTGACCAACGGTGTCCGCAGCTGCTTTTCGACGGATATCGAGTCCTACTTCCGTGGAGTTGAAAAACTAGAGAAGAATGGGAGGGAAGGTCTCTCAAGGCTTTAACTCATGAATTCTCATGCTTGGAGTAGTATGAGAAAGCAATTTCATGTCAGGAAAGTGCTGAGACACCAGAGGCGAAGTGAAAACAGAGCGCAGTGCTACCATGCGAGAACAGATCAAAGAGAAATACCCTCTGTAGATTTAGACACCGCTATGCAAAACCGAAACCTAGTTGGAGCTTAAGCAAAATATAATCTGTGGAAGACTTGTCACAGGACAAAGGATTTGGGACTTACACCCTGGCAGTGATAACTTATGAAAACGCTTGCGGTGGTGCTAGCGATAAGTACTGAGATGGTTTCTCAAATTACCCAAACACCATATGGTTGTCCAGAAGCTTGTGTCTGACAACAAAACGTGTTCATGGGACATAGGCAGCGGGGAAGTAGTATGTCGAATTAAACACGATGGCCAGCAGTGGAACCCAAGCAGTTCGCGGGAAGGTCAATTGAATATGTTTGGTTTTAGTATGATGCCATCGGCCCACTATGAGTTTGCAGCATTGTCTGCAGCTATCTTTGTGAGCCAGCAGAATTGATTTTGAATAAGACCGTTTTAGTTGCCTGCGAATTAATCAACAGTGACCCGGTGACTCGTGAGAACCTCAGCCAGCCATGTAGGAAGTCTGGAGGGGCAGTGGATCGACCATCAAAGCCTCGCCTGCTCGTTCGGGCGGTCGGCCGGCGATACAGATCCAACCAAGCAAATCACACAGATCACGGGACACAGACCTGATGTGTGGCCTGAGGCGGCTACGCGTCCGTTTTGGGTTTGGCCATGGCCGCAATCACCTCCGGCTTTGCATATCGCCTATGCTATCCCATAGATATTTTGTTGCCTACATTGCGGTCCTGTCGGTGAATCTGGAGAAGCCAGGGCTGGACTGGTTCCCATAACCGGATTTTGAGATCCCCAAACGCAAGCTCTGATCTGGCGAAAGGCCCGTTCATCCGTTGCATCCAAGTATAGACCACACATTGTTAACGCTATACATCGGGATACAAATAAGAACTATATCGTCGAGTTGTTTCATTTGACCAAAATTTGGAATACGCAGGTTTTCACAGACAATTTCTTTGGAGTATACTGCCGCCTCAACGATGGATCAGCCATCTGAGAATAACGAACCAGAGCACATCACGGAGACAAATCTGGAAACAGAGCAGAAGTCCGCCGCCGAGGCCGAGGCCCTGGAGTCAGAGAAACTCAAGAATGCGGAGCTCGAAAATCTCAGAGCCGAAAAAGAAACGGCAATTCGCCAAGCATGCGACTTGCGTGATATTGATGCATTAGTCTCATACGCTACCTCAGAAGGTGGCTTCCTCAATGATGATGTCCGGCGAACAGCCTGTGAGCGCTACCTAATACCAATTATATACATTATCTGACGTTCGACAAGGGCCTATTCTTCTACAGTGTGATCGACGGGGACCCAAATTCGATTTCACAGGATGGGAACATCTACCTGCACATATTGACGAAGAACAAGTTCAGCTTGATGTGAACAGGTCGTTCGTCTACTACCCTGAATGTAAGTCATCCATTCAGTTATTTTGTCGATCGGTGGTGTCTAACTTGACCAGGCTCTGACCAGGAGCTCTCTATCAAGAAGGATGAGCTCTCCAAGTTGATCAAGCAAGTCCTGCGGTGCTTTCCCATGCTCTGCTACTTTCAGGGCTATCATGATATCGTTCAAGTCCTACTACTAGTGCTCGGTGGACAAAATAGCGCTGCTGCCGTGGCACAAATATCTCTTCTTCGGATAAGAGATTACATGTTGCCGTCCCTTTCGCCAGCGCTGAAACATCTAGAGCTGATCCCTGCGATCATTGAGAAGGCAGACCCTGCATTACGGCGTCACCTCGCCGAAATCAAACCATTCTTTGCACTCGCCGCAACTTTGACGATGTACTCTCACGACATCCAAGAATATAGCGGCATTGCACGCCTTTTCGATTTCCTGCTGGCCCAGGAACCAGTAGTCTCCATATACCTCTTTGCAGCCATCATTCTCTCCCGCAAGAAAGAATTGCTTGAATTTTCAGTCGATGAAACCGATATGCTGCATTTTACCCTGTCCAAGCTTCCAAATCCCTTGGATCTTGAGGGTTTGATATCCCGCGCGATGCAGCTTTTTGAAGCTCACCCGCCGGAAAGTCTGCCATTTGGAGCCTGGAAGCGCATTCCAGATTGCAGTGTGCTGAAATCTTCAAGGGATCTCGTCAGGATCCAAGGACCCGATGAAACAGTCGACCTCTTCGCGAAACAAGTACGGCATCTACGTTGGGAGGAGCGGAAGGAGAAGACCGTTGCTTTCTTGTGGTATCACAGACGGACAATCGGCTCTGTGGCTGTGACAATGTTCATTGGTGCTATGTCGTTCTGGATCAAGAAGAGGGGATTTGACAATACGATATGGGCGTATGTCAGTAGGTTCCATGGGGCTTTGCAGGCCCGAGGCTATCTTTAATCTTATGTGACCATTGGGAAAGATAGAAAAGCACCGGTTCAGAACTAAGGCCTGGGATTTTATGTACAAATATCAAAGACAGGTTATAAAAACATGCTAATAAGGAGAAATCAGTTTTACGAGACAAAGAACAGCTTCAGCACACAGAATAGACAGTAGAGGCGGACGCACAAAATGCGAAACACAGCCCGCGTCAGCCCGTGTTGAATAGATGGACAGTCTCCACATGGTGGCTAGTGCGTGGCTTTCCCGGCAGCCGCTGAGGTGTACTCTTGCATTCCCGCATCTCCCAGGAACCGAGAGCTCAACAACCACCCTTGAAAACTAACGTGAGCTGCCCAAGATGGCGAACCAGGGCTATGATGTGGTAGTGGACGTTGACGCCGAGGTAAGACTTCAATAACAGTTCGCATCTCCGATCGCAGTATACTAATATCATTTTCCAGGGCGATCTCGGCCATACCGACCTCCAAGAAGACCTCGAATTCCACCGTTCCAGTAAGCTAGCTGGCCTTGAGCACAACCACCACCTCATTCCAACGCACACCTACTTACCTCCCCTTCTCAGACTTCGAAAACGACCAACGCAACGCCAAAGCCCAACAAGACTCTGCCCCCTTCCTCGGCGGCGGTTCATCGCGCGGCCGTGACCGATCCCCCGGCGGCACCCCCTCCAAGCTCAACTGGTGGTCAATCCATTACTACTCGCAATTCTTCGATGTAGACACGAACGAAGTCCTCCGCCGCTGCGTCGCAGCCATCTACCCGCGCAGCAACTTCCTCGACGTCCTGGAAGGAAACCCGGACCTCTACGGACCCTTCTGGATCGCAACCACCGTCGTCGTCATCCTCTTCCTAACCGGTACCATCTCGCAATGGCTCTCCAACAATGACGATGAGCACTTCGAATACGATTTCACTTTGCTATCCGGCGCCGCAGGCTTGGTTTACGGATACACGGGCATCATCCCCATTGCGCTGTGGGGTGCGCTGAAGTGGTTCGGCAGCTCCAGCGCGGACTTAGTCGAGTCGTGGGCGCTCTATGGATACTCGAACCTGGTTTGGATTGCGGTCGCACTGGTTAGCTGGAGTCCTTTGACGGCGTTGAACTGGGCTCTGGTGGGTGTTGGCTTCGGGTGGACAGTCTTCTTCCTCCTGCGCAATCTGTACCCGGTTCTTAGTGCTACGGATGCGAAGGCTAGCAAAATCTTGCTGATTCTGGTCATTGTCCTACATGCTGGGTTTGCGTTGGCGATTAAGATCTTGTTCTTTGCGTAAGTGGTTCCCTGGCCCCTGCTCTGGTGTGTTATTCTCATGTGAGGAATTGTGACTAATATGGGCTTATGTGCAGACATGGAAGCCCCGTTTCGAAGAAGAACAAGGACCACGATGACGACGATGACCACGACGATGACAAGCGACGGATGTTTGGTGGCTGGTAAAAAGGTGCTAAGATGTCGGTGTTGGTATCGGTGTGGTTCCCTTCGGTTGTTATACTGTTCAGTTGCTGTCTTTCCCCCCAGGGGACCATGACATTTGCTCCGGCAGCATTATGTCATGTCATATCATGTGTCGACTTGCTGGTTTATGTTCTCAAGTGTTGTTATTTCTGATATCGTTCCCACTGTTTTGTCTGTTGAACGTTTCCCTTTCCACCAAGCCGTGCTGCATGTGTGTATGTGTATCTACTAAGAATGCGACGAGAGCTTTTTTTGAATTTTACAGGTTGTGCTTTGATTGCAACTTCTTCCCGAGGAGTCAACTATAGACATTTGACTTCGGCTATAAGTAATGATTCATCATTCCAACGCCATGTAGAAAATCTCCCACGTTGCAATCGTATCGTGACCCCAGCAGCACTTTTCCCCAGCAACGCAGAAAAACCGTAATAAGATAATCGTCTATTTGAGCTTCTTCTTGGGGCGGAGCTGGTTGGTGTGACCACACTTCTTCTTGCGGCAGTTGGTGGCACGGGGGGGAAGGCGGGCCTAATCGGGTTATCAATGTTAGTGGGGGAATTTTCGCTAGCCGGGACTCAAAAGAGGGGCGGGATCGAGTCGAGGGGTAAGGAAGTAGCATGGATGAATGGATGGACGTACGTAGCACTTGCGGCAGATGGACTTCTCGCAGTTGTACTTGGAGGCAAGAGCCTTAAGGGAGGGCTCGATGATACCACCACGCAGACGGAGGACCAGGTGAAGGGTGGACTCCTATAGTCGAGAAGATAACCCGTCAGTCAAACTATATCCCGGTGGATTGATGTCGCGTTGAATGCCGATAGTCGTGAAACGTCCATGAATGCGACCGTGCCGATGTTACTATTCCCCCTCCTCAGAACCTAGTTGCGTGTTGTGTCGCCCCCCACCGACCCGAATCGCATCATGTTCGTAACCGACTATCCGAGCAGACGAAATCGACGTATAAGATATTTCGCGGAACCGGTTCATTTCATACCTTCTGGATGTTGTAGTCGCTCAGGGTGCGGCCATCCTCAAGCTGCTTACCAGCGAAGATAAGACGCTGCTGATCCGGGGGGATACCCTCCTTGTCCTGGATCTTGGTCTTGACGTTGTCGATGGTGTCGCTCGACTCGACGTCGAGGGTAATGGTCTTACCCGTGAGGGTCTTGACGAAACTATTGATCGGGAAGAAGCCTGGGTCAGTTTCCTTGTTTCATTTCTCGATGATATATTCGTGCCATCTTTCGGATTTCGGGCTGGATTCGACGGGTGGTTTGCCAGGGAACTTGGAATCACCTACATCTGCACTGCAGAGACGCGGAAAAAACGACATGTTAGCTTGCGACTTCAAAGAACACGCATTTCGCATTCACGAACGAAAAAGGTATACGTACTGGCTGCGGTTTTCGTTGTTGCTGGCTGACGATCGGCTGACAAGGTCGGTCGGATGAGGCGATGTCAATTTCACGATTTCTCGCTTAGCAAAGGTGGAACGGACCGCACGTGATCAGGGTTTAGGGCAGTCCGGCCGCGTTCGGGGCCTCTCCGCAGTCTCCATAATTAGTCCGTAGACTACTACTACTTTTACATCATCCATTTAGCATCATCCATACGTTGGAGGCTGCCCGTGGTCCGTGGTCCGCGGTCCGCGTTTGGTTGTGTTTCTATGATGCTCGACCCGACATCTGTGTTCAATGATGCAAACCAGCCTTCCTTCAAATAATTTTGATTTGCAGGGAAAATACAACCTCAAGGACTAACAGTATAGGATGTTTCTATTCTTGATACTTATATACTACTTTAAAGACGGGACCCAATTGGCTCAGTTCCCTAGTATATATGATCGCCAAGCTCAATTTGAGTCACCATCCTCCAGCTCAGACATGCTCTCTTCATCATTGTCTGGATCCGCACTGGAGTCCCGAGTGAATTCCATGCCCATCGATCCAAAGTACTCAACCCGCCGCTGCTCTTCAAGCCACCGGTTGATTTTATTTTCTGCTTGTGATACAGCCCTAATCAATGTAGATAGGGAAACACCGGCTACCTTGGCAGCTGTCTCGTAGAATGACCTCGCAGTATCCGGAAGATCAGATTCGGTTCGATACCGCGTGTATGAGCATCCCGGCCGTGGAGTGTCCAGGTCATTATCTGCAATGACCTGTCTTGCTCTTAATTGGCTGGTGGACGCCTTGATCAATTCATCAAGAGCTTCCTCATCTGTCATGTCTGGAGTAGGAGCTGTGGTCTGGCTTTCTCCAGCACTTGGACCAGTCGGAAAGAGATCTGCGAGGGGATTTGATACTGGAACATTGTTCAGCACCGAGAAGGGGAAAATGTGGCATAATTCATACCTTTACTTGGATCGAGCCAGCTATTCTCGTACCAGTTCATATACTCGTCGAGCTGGGATGGTGTCATGCTGAAGACGTCTCTCTCAGTCACCAATATCTCCTTTCCCTTGCCAAGCTGACCCGCAGGCGTCTTCCGATTGTCATAATGTCTCTGTATTTGTGACCAAAGATTCCAGTCGATCACTTGCACTGTGGGCTCTTCAACAGTCGTGGGATATCTTTCAATATCGTCGAACGGGAACAGAAGCTTGGTAGTGATGACAACCAGAGCGACTAGTTGCAGCTCGGGCAGTTGGAGTGGTCTTCTCCTTCCAGATATGCTTGTAGGGTATTTAAAGTCGAACCCTAGAAGATGCTGCAACTTCTTTGCGGCCGGGTGAATATCCACTGCAAGTAGGTTAACGAATAGGAATGATTGAAGACGGGGGCGTCGCATACGAGGAAGCGCAAGTCTCTTGACATATTTATATAACAAGACTGGCCAGTTCAAAGATGGAAATTGCATGCTGAACTTGTTATGATAAAGCAGCAGAAGGTCTGAGACAGCTCCATGAAGGTGCTCGGCTTGGAGTAGCCTCTATCATATAGTCAGACACGACTATCAATTCCTCCTGACATATCATAGGCACTCACCGTGGTCTCAAGTATCGAAATGAACTCTTGTGGCAGTTTATCCCTCATCTCTCGAGGAATAATTTTTACAATCCTGATGAAAGGAACATCACCACGCATTACCATTCTAAACATTCACTTAGCCCTTGTAAGATCCAAAGTGGTTTATACTTGACTACTCACCCATAGAAATCCCCAACACCCACTGGAAGCCTCATTAACAGGGCGCCTAGATAGCACAAAGCAATGCTATCAATAAGGCGAGGCCATGTAGCCTGCCTTCCTCTGAACCTGGTGTCGTCGGATCCATCCAGCCCCGAGGTTACCTGCGAACTGAAGAACTCAGGCTCCTCGTCCTGTTCTGAAGGATCATTGATCTTCTCGGCGTACGTCTCCAATCGGAGTGCCCAAAGATCGCGAACGACAGACTATGCATGCATCAGTGAGCCGTTCATTAGTGGTTTCCCCAAGGGGGCTATGTCATGCATACCTCCAACTCGGACGGAAAGCCGCGCTGATGGACCAGCGCGTGACATTGCTTCCAGAGAATCAATTGGTAGACTTGCAGAAATAGACTATAAGCCTGGCGTCCCCGGTATGCTGCCCGATATTAGCCGATGTGGAGAGCGCGTCACCTCCAAACCATGATGGTAGTATGATGGTGGTGGTTGTAGTTATGGTAGGTTGGAGGCTCTCTTACTCTTTTGAGACTTCTCCGCTGCAGCCTTCTTTACGCGACTGGTCCGGCCTTGCGTGTTAAAGTCATCGGGATCCTCTTCGACTTGACGTCCCTACGCGACAGATGGAGAATGAGTGGGCTGATCGGTCGCGTGCGTAGAATGAGTGAGGGGCGGGAGAGAGGGGAAAGATCAGACCTCTTGTTGATGACCCCGCCTGCAGAACCAGAGGCCATTATCCAGATAATACCGTCGTTCACGGCACCCTTCCTGCCCGCAAACCCCTCGGGTGATGTACTCCATCCAGGGCAGCGCTCTTCATTCTTCCTTGTCCAAAGGTTGTGGAGGAACAGAAGGCCTGGGTCTTCCGGAGCGGGTCAGCGCAGCTACCAGAGATTTGTTACCAGTCAGATTTTTTCTACCGTTGATGCAGGACCCCGAAAAAGTAATATCCGCATGCGCCTTATCGCCCACTGCGTAGCCTTTAATTCTTGCGATAAGGTTGGTACTTCATTGTTTCCGTAGGTTTTATGCACGCGTGTCTCAGGATATCGGATCTACACTGGTACGCTGCTTATCTTGTCTACGAATGACATTTGGACATGACATGTTGGGAGAAAGGTAGTTAATTTTTTATTCGTCAAACTATCGTGAAAGTGCTGAACTCAAGAACTGTTTCTCTGACAAGGCAGGATTTATGCTGCCGAATTAACGTGACCATCATGGCCAGCTCAGCGTATACCCAAGGCTAAACAGACGGATATAAGAGTACGTGGCGCCGCAGCTGCCCAAAAGGCCGTATCATCCACCTGACCAAGGGCAAAGCCGAGCGAGGCTCTTCAAATACACCATGGATGACAGAGCAGTTAACGGTCCATAGACACAATAATTTAGTTGCCCTTGGGAGCCTCCTTGACATCCATGCAGACCTGCTCGCCCATGGAGGACAGGATGGTGACGTCTGGAAATGAGATTCGTCAGTAATCATGCCAACAGCCACTTATCCAAAATGGATGGGTGTTACTCACTGCAGTCCTTCTCCTCCTCGTGGAACATGCGGCGGATACGGTCGCCAACCTCACCCTCGGGAACCTTGACGTCGTCCTTGGTGTTACCGGCCTCGTCCATCAGGGAAAGGAAGTCGTCGTCAGTAACGTCAAGCTATATCCGTGTTAGCGGGTCAAGTTCATCAAGACCGTACATGTTCCGAACTACTCACGAGCTGGTATTCCTTGCGGTAGACGTTGGGGACATCCATGTTGTGGGTGGAGGGGGACAGATCCTCAAGCTTCTTCTGGGTGAAGATATCGATGGCAACGATGTGGACCTTGGCGTGACCGTGCTTGCCAGTCTTGGAGGTGGACATCTCAACGATCTTGCAGGGGCGGCCCTTGATGACAACGTGACCGTTCTTGCGCAGGGCAGAGCACTGCATGGGGTAGGTGGCCGAGGCGCCGGCATCGGCGGACTCGAAGGTCTCGTGCTATTGAGTGTGAATATTAGCAAACTAGCCCATGATCAAGATGATAGAGGATGGTCCAAGAGTGTAGCGAAATATGCAATGTCTGCAGGAACGAGGGGGGTTGGGTGGGGGGCAGCGATCGAGATGCGAGGCCCCGAAAACACCCAACCCAACCGAGCAAGCAGGACGAAGATAGGCCGCAACAGTGTAGACCGGGAAGTTCGCAGAAGGAGAGTTAGCACCTACCTCGTCAGCCATGGTGATGGATTTAGGGGGTATGAGGTAAAAAGTGAAAGGGAGAGGTGAGGAGGATGTTGGAATTGAGGAGGAGATTAGAGGAAAAGGAAGAGAAAAAAGCGAAGGAAGGACGAAGAGGGGGACACAGGCGAAAAGAAATCGACAAATGGACTGCGAAAAAAAGGCACTGGTTGTGGCGGGGTTTTGTGGTCGCTAGTCCCAGTCCGGTCTAGTCTCGGACAAACCACGTCCGCGGTTGCTGCAGTGCGCCGTAGCATCTCGGCCTGCTATTCCACGTATACTCCTAACGACTATAGTAATACTTAGTAGCTATCTACTCTTTATCCTCCCGTCGATAAGTATCAGCCTGGCCTCGGCCTTACCTTCGTCTTCTCGAATGTACGCGGCCGTATAATATCTCCCAGTACCCACCTGTGTTCTGGGAGAACTTCCCTCACCTCACCACCTCACCCCTCGATGAACCCGGGGAGCTCTCCGCTATCCGCACGCTTCTCCGTGTCGGCCTCCCAAGATGTGGCTAGACCGCATTTCGGGTCATGCGACGCCCTCCGGTCCCCAATTCGATAGTCGCAGCAGCTCTCCCTTGCCTCGAAGGACCTCATCTCGCTTGGCTCCGACTCCGAACAATCGCCCCGCTTCCAGTCGCCAAGGTTCGGCGTTGTCTCTCCTGTCGACTCCGAACGACTCGTCTACATCCCTCTCCGCGACTGCGCGTGAAGGTTCCTCGCCAAAACCAAGTGCTACGAGACCACGCCCATCCGATGTTGCTGATCCGCTCGAGGTCTTGAATGGGATCATTGGAAAACAAGGCAAAACAAGAGACAGCTCTCCAGCGTCCGTCGCGGAAGTGAAACCCTCGGAGCTTGTGGAGGACATTGATTTTCATGGACTCAGCCTGGAAGACTTTATCGCGGAAGAAGAACAACCTAGAAGAGCCTGGCAAAGTGATGTCGGCGCCCAGACCATCCAGCAGTTCGAGAAGGAAAGGGACAAATTTCAGGACCTGCACTCGGCAATCACTGGCTGCGATGACGTCTCCAAGTCAGTTGAAATGTACTTGAATGACTTTCAGAATGAATTGGGAGCTGTATCAGCAGAAATAGAGAGTTTGCAGTCTCGTTCGATACTACTGAATGCGATGCTAGAGAACCGACGGAATGTTGAACAGCTGCTTGGACCTGCTGTGGAGGAAATCAGCTTGTCTCCGAAGACCGTCCGATTAGTGGCGGAGGGACCTATTGATGAGAACTGGGTCAAGGCTCTGAATGAGATCGAGACTCGGACGGCTAGCATCGAAGCCAAGGCCTCAGGCACCAATAGTAGCAAGTCTATCGAAGATGTGCGGCCTCTGCTGGGTGATATCAAGAAGAAGGTACTGCTTCCGGTATAAATTTACTTTACAGATTGACTAACAGACATGCAGGCAGTGGAGCGGATCCGGGACTACCTGGTGTCTCAAATTCGAGCCCTGCGATCTCCGAACATCAATGCACAGATCATCCAGCAGCAGCGACTGGTTAAGTTCAAGGACTTGTACGGCTACATATCACGAGCCCACCCCACTCTCACGGGAGAAATCACCCAGGCCTACATCAACACGATGCGATGGTATTACCTGTCGCATTTCACAAGGTATCACCAAGCACTCGAAAAAATCAAGGTCTATCCGAGCGATCGGAATGAGGTATTAGGAGGGGATCCATCCTCACATAAAACAGGTGTGTTTGGGCTTACTGCTCAGTGCATCATTTGACTGATACTGACTGGCACAGGTAATATTGTTCCCGGCGGCCGAGCTGGTTCTGCGGCGCACGACCCCTTCTCTCTCGGCAGGAGAGTCGACATACTTAGGGCAGGTAATCAGATGGCAATATCTTCCTACTTGGCAGAGGAGGACAATGCTTTCCACGGACTCGAAGTCCCTTTCCGAAACTTCAACCTTGCTCTCCTCGATAATGTTTCCGCCGAATACTCGTTCATGACCGAGATGTTCTCCACATTGGGCTTCCAACAGATATCTCGCAAGGCCGTTGAGATCTTCGAACCAGTCTTCACCCTTGGGCAGGCCCTGACCAAGCACCTGATCGAGCAGACTACAGATGCGCTCGGAGTTCTGATCTGCGTGCGATTGAACCAGCAAGCCGCTTTCGAATTGCAGCGGCGCAAGGTACCGGTGGCCGACTCCTATGTCAACGGAACAAACATGCAATTGTGGCCTCGGTTCCAAGTCATCATGGACACGCAGTGCGAGTCATTGAAACGGGTAGCAGCGAACACCGGCCGTAGTGCGGTCTCCGCATTGTCTCTTGCTGGAGGAGACGATCTCAACAAGTCATCCGCACCTCATTTTCTCACTCAGCGTTTTGGACAACTTCTCCACGGCATTCTGGTGCTGAGCAGTGAAGCCGGGGATGACGAGCCAGTGGCCAATAGTCTGGGCCGATTGACCACAGAGTTTGACAATCTTCTAGCGAAGCTTAGCCGGATTGGCGGCGATGCCAAACGGAGGGAGAGGTTTCTTTACAATAATTATTCGCTTGTTCTGGCTATTATTAGTGTAAGTCGATTGATCCGCTGCGGATGCTGATGCTGACGGACGCAGGATACCCATGGCAAACTAGCCACCGAACAGAAACAGGTACGTGCCACATTGCCAGTTCAAAGGATTGAACTAACAGCGTGCAGCATTTGGAAGACATGCTCAAGAACGTAGGCAAGCGTGGCTAATCGATAGACATTCTTCAACAGACCCGCTGGGTTGGTCTGAATCTGCCACTGTATATTTCATAGCTTGAGATGGCACGCCCAAATAGTCTACTGTACGATAATATGATCCATAGAAGCGACCACCCCATATATAGTTAGAACATAAAGTATTCAATCAGATACCCCTGAATCAGCATACGAAAACCATGTTCCAATCTTCACCAACCAAGTATTGGGCCAGGAACATCTCCGAAGATAACGATAATAGCAGAGCTTATCGGCATCGGCACCGACGCCGACTCCGCCCGTCGTGGGGAACAACCACCACTCAAATGCTCCTCCTCACCCCAACAACCCACCTCCCGTACAATGCAGGCATTGTCTAAATGATCCCACGGAGTCACTTAATTATTATGGCCACCCGTATCCTCCGTTCCATTCCCAATGGCCGTCTCCTATCGCGGCGCGCCTTCTCCAGCACTGCCGCCTCCAGGGCCGACGTCACACATGCAGTAACCAATCCCTACCAAAACCATCTACCTGCATTCTTGCAACAAATACAAACAGCAATCTAACACGTCACTGTCAAGGTTATAGGCGCAGGGGTCGTCGGACTGGCAGTTGCGCGTCAACTAGCCATGAAAGAGGGCACATCGACGATTCTACTAGAGAGACATGACGCGCCGGGGACGGAGACGAGTAGTCGCAATTCAGAGGTAGCATTCCAGACCTAATTACGCCTATACAATTATCTCCTCAAAAGATACTATAATGCTAAGCAATACCTTTGGAAATAGGTCATCCACGCAGGCCTCTACTACGGCGCCGACACCCTCAAAACCTCCCTCTGCATCAAAGGCAAAGAGCTCCTGTACGCACTCTGCGCCCAACACAACATCCCGCACCGCAACACCAAAAAATGGATCGTCGCCCAAACCCCAGAACAATGGGAAGCATGTCTGCGCGTGCACGAACACGCCAAACGCATCGGCGTCCCCACACGCATCCTAGGCCAGGAAGAAGCACAGCGGCGCGAACCCGAAGTGCGCGCCCTGGCCGGCATCGTGGAGAGCCCGACAACCGGCATCATCGACAGCCATTCCCTAATGACCTACCTACAAGGAGATTTCGAAGATCGCGGCGGAGACTGCGCGTTCATGACGCAAGTGACGGGCATCGAACCCCTCCCTGCTAGTGAGGGTGGCGGATACCGGATCAGCGCTGTGTCAGCAGACGGGAGTGAGACGACCATCACAGCGGAGACAGTGATAAACAGTGCAGGAAATGGGGCCTGTGCGATCAATAACATGGTGATGCCGGCTGAGCGGCATCGAAAAGCTTATTTCGCCAAGGGGACGTATTTCTCTTACTCGGCTTCAACGCCGAAGACCTCGGTGTTGGTGTATCCGACTACGTTGCCGGGAACGGGCGGGCTAGGGACCCATTTGACCCTTGATATGGGCGGCAGGATCCGGTTTGGGCCGGATGTCGAATGGGTGGAGGATCCGAGTGATTTGAGGCCGAGTCCGGCAAGGTTGCAGCAGGCGTTGCCGGAGATCAGGGCGTATTTGCCTAATGTGGATGTTGAGGCGATTGATTTGGATTATTGTGGGATTCGGCCGAAGTTGGGGAAGGGAGGGGCGGTGAATACGGGGAAAGGGTTTCAGGATTTTGTGATTCAAGAGGAGGAAGGGTTTCCTGGGTTTGTGAATTTGTTGGGCATTGAGAGTCCTGGATTGACGAGTTGTTTGGCCATTGGGGAGAGGGTAAGGGATATTTTGTATGCTTAGATAGTTACTACTACTTTTATGTACATAGTAGATGCAGACTTTGGGTTGCGTACATACTAGTCGGAGAATATACATAGTTTGTATATCGGAGTGGAGCATGAGTGTGTGAAACACGCAGACAAAGAATACCACACAAAGTAAAGACAAGCCTGCAAGGCGAACTTGGCAGTCCATCATCGAACAAAAGACCTCAGACCACACATAACCAAGGTCGATCAAGTCTTGTTCCGCAGGCTTAGCATGGCTGGAACACCATCAAGGACGACGCGTTGGACTCCACCTATGATTAAGCTTCCCCATCGGCTACGTCAAGACTTGTGGCAGATAGATACATACCCTTCAGACATAGCATATTTCGCACAGTATTGTAAGTAGAAACAAATATTCTTATTTGAGGGAGAAGAGTGTACCTGAATTGATAGATCACATCCAATTTCTATTTTAGTCAAATATAGTAGAATGATGGGGGAGCCCAAATATGAAAGAATCTAGAATGAACAATCAGCGAGGAGTTACCCAATACGGAAGGGGCGGGTAGTTGGGTTGTTCGCCACGCCTTTTTGCCAGCAGATCCCCGATCCCCTCAAAAGTCCAGACCCGGACTTGGTTACGCGTGTTCGATGCTCTGAGTACTTATATGATATGGTATTCTTTCCTTGGTCATTTTTGTAGTTCGATCTATATTATCATGATTTGCTTTACTACGTGAGAGATTGAATTGGTTTACTCCGTATATCTTTACTTACTTTATACTTCTCTCTTCACCTATATTTCCTTTATCTTAAGTACTACATCTACTGCTATCTATATCATATATACTACACACTTATCCACAATGACCACCCATCTACACCAACCACCACATCAGCACTCACACACATCCTATAACCCCTACCACCCCTACACCATCCCCAACCACACCCACACCCACACCCAAACCAAGAAACAACGCTCACGTTCAAACCGACGCCAACGCCAACACCCCACCCATTCTTCTTCATCCTCATCCAAAAGCAGCAACAGCAACCGCTGCTTCACTTGGCTGCTCCTCCCCCGACAAAGCAACACACACATCGCCAAAAACCGCTCTTCATTCAGCAGCTACCGGCGAGCACCATGCAAGATCGCGAACCAGCGGGTGCTAGGCGTAGGAACCGTGCAGCTCCGGGTGCAACGGGCACCAGACGATCCGCGCACGAATACCCTTGTGCTGCATGACGTGCTGCATATGCCAAATGCCAGGTGTAATGGGATTAGTGTGGCGAAGTATACGGGAGAGAGTGAGGAGGAGACGGCGTCAGAGGGGGGCAGTAGTGCTGGGGAGAGGGCGGTTGTGGAAGAGGCTGAGAATGGGGGTGTTGTGAAGGTGAAGAGTGAGAGGGAAGATGGGGAGGGGTTGTGGTTTGCGAGGGGGAGGAATTCGAATAATGAAGGTGGGGATGATGGGTTGAGGGTTGTCTTGGCGGGGGAGAGGAAGGATGATGATGGTGCTGGTGGGGAGGGTGATGGTAAAGGGATCATGGGGGTGGTTGCGTCGAAGGAGGAATTGGAGATGTTGAATGAGAGGGTTAGGAATCGGTCGTGGGTATAAATCAGTACCCTATTTGTGGGTTATTATATTGTACATAGATTGGTATACATCATGTCGGATTCATAAATGAGATCGTAACGCAGTTGATGGCATCAGTTCTGGTGTAGTGGTCATTCCACATCCATTAGCACATCGCTCATGATATGCAGCACATACGAAAACTTTCGTACGCTCCACTTTCCCGTATCCTTTAGCAGTCCTGCGTAGTCGAGTAAAACGCGGCGGGCTGCTTGATAGCCTCCCTGGATGGGAACACCGCGTAGGTATATCGTGCCGCCGTTCCGAATAAAAATCATCGCAGGTTCTTCAGACGGCGGAAAAGATTGGCCTTCTTGAGGCTCCATGAAGCTGGTGAACCCCTCAGTGCCCACCTTTTGCCAATCAATATCATCGAAAAGCTCGATGGAGTGTCCGCCTTGCTGCATCTCAGAGGTACTTGGAACCATGAAGACGTAAAGACCCAGCACTAGTGCTGCGTAGAAAAGGGAGAATACAGAATGGAACATTGTATGGTCTGATGCCTTCCTATTCGTCATGGCTCGGTAGATGTGTGCTGCATGCAAGCAAGCTCGTCTGGCAGCCGGTGTTTGTGACCATGCTGCAATGTCATCGAGTGCTTTTCGGGCAGGGCCTGGGCCAGAACGGCCAGCTGCCATGTCGAAGATTTGGGTGTCTGCTGTTAGCGTCATGCACATATTGTGCCACATGACGGCTGCGTTTGGATTGAGTCGGTCCAGCACATCGCCATATTTGCTTGTTAGCTGGAGCTGAAGTGATGGCAGACATCTTGCACGCCCGTCCATGGCATATGTATTGCAGGGGGCGAAGGGGTAGCTGGCACGATTCGAAAGGAGTCGATAGTATGCCTCTGAAAGCCTCGACTGAACCATTGCTAGTACTGCATACATGCAGAAATCATCTATCGGGCTGCGAAGTGTTGGAATGTCGACATTCTCCGATGGCATCAGTATCGTAGGCATCAAGCTGACTTTGTCGCTACCGCTTAGCTGCATCCAGCGTGTGGAAGATGTAGCTCGGAAGAGCGCTTCATTACACGGCAGTATCAGTTGGACAGAGTCTGGCACGATAATCGGACTCGTAGACATGAACGATGAGTACCAAGAGTCGAGCAGCAGTAGTCCAGTTATAAGCCTGTGATGTCAGCAAATGCTCTTCTGAATGATTGTTCAACTCACCGTTTTACTGATTCTACCTTGCTCCAGGCTTTCCACCGAGTCTCAGTATTAGGGACGGCGTCGAACAGGTGCGTGTCAAGCACCTGCCCTTCCCTAGCTGCGAAGAGTCCGTGCCGCTGTGCGATCTATAAGTGTGTCAGCCGTATTCTAAGGTTCTGATTGAAGGGCATACCGATATGAGATTAACATAGAGCATTTGGCACTTTTCAAGATGTTCTTTTTCCTACAGAAATTAGTATAACTCAGTTTCTTTCTCGATTAAAACTTACTCCTGTCATGGCAGCCAAATTCAAAAACAGAAATGCAGCTGCAAAAGTAGACACGGTGGACAAAGAACCCTCGACTCCAACTGAACACTTGGCTAATTCAGCTGTAATACTTCCAAGCATGGACTACAGCATATTAGCAACGCACACTGCATATAAGACCTGATCATACCGAGAAGTTGTTGACAACGAAGCTTAACGTGCCTTTGGTTCCCAACAGGACCATGCCAATGAGACACATGGCATAGAGCAAGGATGGACGGGCGTCTTTTGCAGAGAATGTTGGGATGTGGATAAACGGCACCAGTGGGTGAAAGTCGCGGAAGAACAGATCTAGTGCCATATCCAGAATTTCCGCAGGAGGAAAATTAGTATTGCGATGTGGTTGGGTAAAGGGCGAGACTGCAGTAGCCTCCGAGGAACGCATCTGAGATTGACCTTGGCTTTGGTTGAACATTGTGTAAAGACGCTGCCTGCATTCTTCATCGACGCCGTACCTCGACCCCTGCAGATAACCCGACGGGGCGCTGGAAGAGTGGGTTGGCCTGAAAGCGAACACATTGTGCTGTTCGCTGTAGACTACATCATGCCATAAGCTGTTCATGAGCCGCCCAGTGTTGTTGGATGGAGCAAGCCAATAGCGCTGAACACGGGCAAACCGTTCAGTTGGAATACTACTTCCAGAGCACAAGCTCATGCTATCAATAGATGGTCGTGGTTGCTCCGAAGAAGCAACGGCCTCCCCTAACATGCCGAGATTAGAATTCCCCCTGAGGTCGACTGATCCTTGCTGTGAGATCGAGTCCCCTTGCGGTTCCAGCCAGAATTGCAGTATGTCGTTATGCAATGGATCAAGAACTGTCCCTCTGTAGCATTGCTGGTCCGGAACAGGCACGTCATTCCAGCCAAAGTAACCTTGATGCTCATTTGTCACGATCTGATTAGATACTGGTTCAGTGCGAGGTTGATGAGCAGATACGTTGGCAAGAAAGTCCAAGGAAGTCGACTGCTGATCGAGAGCCGCGGACAAGGTAAAATTGTGAGGTGCCGACGAACCATGCTGGAGCGGGCGAGCACTCTCCGCACCCATACCAAGGACGTAGTTCTGATTCCCCGCTGTCATAGTTGATGGTCGATGAGCAGGAGCTTGATTAGTAGGCGTGGCAGGAATACCAGCACCTGGTCCAACCGCTGCATTGGCAGCTGGTTGATTATGACCCCTGGCATGGCGGCTTAGGACATCACTGCAACAGTGTTAGCGCGTGCAGGAGTGAAAATAGTCACAGCTTCAATACCTTCGTGAAAATCGCTTATGACAGACACTACATTCATAGGGCTTCTCCTTGGTATCTACCAGACGTCAGCAGGATGCAGCCATATGCAGGTCGGTTGACTTACGTGAGCGTTCGTGGCGCTTGAAATGCTCCGTTTTCTTGAACCGTCGATCGCATATGGTGCACTTTCGCAACACCATTATGGTATTCTTGAGGCTTTTGGCAGAATTGAAGAACTAAGCAGTTGATATTTAGCTGGACATGGTGTGGTCGGCTCTCGCCATTTCTTAGAAGAAGAAGAAGAGGATCCGTGATGTGAGGGGAGTGCATCGCAAACATAACCGGCTACCTGCAGCCCCGGTCTGGCTTAAGCCTCGATCGGGTAAGGCGTGGGCGCCGAACTGCCGGAGCCGTGGGGTAGCCGTACGGATACCAGATTGATACACAGTGCAGCCAATGAGAAACACCCGATTATAGTTAGTCATCGCATCTGTGAATCCTGGGGTAACTAATCGCCCGTATTGCATTTATCAATGGAAGTTGTTAAAGGTTTATGCACTTAGTTCAGAAACTCTTTGTGGGATTACTTTCAAGAACCCGGTGAGATGTCATCCCATTTTGCTAACCCATCAACAGATACAAACATCTCCAGCTAAGAGGCATCAGATAGACT